AATGAAAGAGAGATGAAATCTTTGAAAAATCTTTCAAAACACCATGTTTAGGGGTTTGGAGTTGAAGAAAAGAGGAGAAGAGGGAAAAAACCAAGTTGGGAAAGGAGTTGGGCATGAATCGTGAAGAGAGAGTCGAGCGGCCCTCGCTAAATCAGGCCTATCTGTTTGCACACTTGGATTTCAGCTATGAGTCCACCACCGTTGGAAAGAAGAATTCCAGGGCTTCCTTTTTCACTCAAGAATTTCCTAAAGCCGAGTCCAGATGAGGGAGATATGGCTAGTTGAAGTTGGACATCAATTCGGTTGGACCGAAACTGAGTAGTCTTCACAAAAAGAGGGATATCTCTTAGAACACATGGAATTTTGATGTCAGATTGCCACCATTGGAAAGCTTACTTCTGTGGCTTCAATTTGCACACAAGAATGACCTACAAAGGAGTCCAGATAAAGGATTTATGCTTGTTTGAAGTTGGGGACTGGGACCAATTTTTGCTGTCGGCCACTGGGGGAGTGTGTCGACCACAAATGGCCTTTGTCGACCAGAAGGCATTCTTGCCAACCAGAAAAAGTAGCTAGTCGGTCGACCACTTGTGCCCAGAAAGCCCAGAATTGGCAGATATTTTGTTCCAGCTGTCTTCCAAGTGCTCCAGATATTTCTAGCTCAGATATTTCGACCAAATGCTCATATATTGCTATATATTGAGCCATATCTCATAAATTGCAGGAGGTTAGCAAGTTTGGGACCCTCTCTCTCTACAAGGTTTTTTGAGCAAAATCTGAGTCTCTCTCTCTAGAAGCCTCTCTCTCTTCTTATATTGAGCCTTAAGCTTGGAATTCTTGGTGCATTTGCAAAGGGACTCTTGATCAAACACCTCTACCTTGAGGCTAAGGTGCTTGGAAGTCTTTTTTGAGCTCCTAAGGGCTGATTTTGCCCCAGAAGTTGCTGGTTTTGTAGTTGTGCTTCAAGGGTGAGTAATTTCCTCTTTTAAGCTTTGTTTTGATTGCATATTTGGCCACCTTTGCATGCTATTTTAGGCTTAGCTTTCAACTGCAAAAAGTTCTATTTTTAAGTGTTTGAAATGGTTGTTTAAGGCCTAGTTTGAGTTAGGGGTGGTTTACCTCCTTTGGTGGCTTGTCTTGCTTTACTTTGTGCCATCTCTTAAGGCTTTTGGGACCGTCTCTTTTTGGCCTTCTTACCACTAAAATTTAGAGGAATTTTAGTGGTGGAAAAGTAGTTTTGAGGTCCCAAATGGGTGGGGGTGGTCCCCCCCTCCTCTTCTCTTGTTTGCATGTGTTGATGGCCCATCAAAAGAGCATGTGTTTCTACTTCTTAGTGGCTTTGTTTAGGCTCATTTTTGTGACTTTTTAGACCTACCATAACTCTTTTTTTGGCTGTCTTGGTCACCTCTTGCATGCTTCTTGTACTTGTAGTGTAATCCTACTTCTAGCCTTGCAAAGTAGCATGTCTTTTTGCATTGAATTGCTTAGTTCAAGTATGTTTTTAGCCATTATTTGCCATGTCATAACTCTGTTTTTGGCTGTCTTGGTCGCCTCTTACATGCTTCTTGTACTTGTAGTGTAATCCTACTTGTAGCCTTGCAAAGTAGCATGTCTTTGTGCCTTGAATTTACTTAGTTCAAGCATGTTTTTAGCTATTATTTGCCACGTCATAACTCTGTTTTGGGTTGGTTTGGTTGCCTCTTGCATGCTCCTTGCACTTGTAGTGCAATTTTGTTCACTAGCCTAGTGTATTTGGTGTTTTAACCTATTGATCTAGCATATGTATGCTCTACTCGAGCACATTTTTGGATTTTTTTTAGCATGCTTTAGGCCTGATTTGAGTAGTTTTGGTCATGCATGCTTGGCTTTGAATAGCTATAGTGTATTTGACTTTGCTAGCCTTGCACTTTGAGACCTCTGGCATGTCATATTTGAGCTTTTTGCATGGCATAGCATCATTTGGCATGTTATTTCAAACCATATACCTCTGCCATATTCTTGCATTTATCGCCCTTTTGTAGTGTTTGAAGTTTGGGCCTTATGCTTTGCTTGTGAGCCAACTTGCATGCATGTTTGTCTAAGCTTTTTGGCTATCGTTTCAGCATGTTTTGGCCTCTATTTTGGCATGTTTTAGGTCTATCCATAGCTGGTTTGATCATTTATACTTGATATTGCATGCCTCTCGTGTGATGCTCTTCACCAGCCTTAGTGTTTTTGGCCTTTAACATGTCTTGCATGCATGTCTTGCATGATTTAGCGTCTTTAGCATGTCATTTCAATGCTGAAATATATGCCATTGCATCCCACTAATTCACTCTTTCAAAACTAGAGGACTCTCACTTTTGGACTTAACCGATTAAGGGACTAATTGGTAATCTAAAATATGTAAACAAAATGAATCAAGTAAAACATGGCCAAGATAAGCATGTTGTTTGTATTGCATGTGTTTGGATTTGACGTTAATCTAAACACAAAAAATGTGGGATGTTTCATACTCATAGTGATGAAACGTGTCACATTTCTTGGTTGCCGATGCCCTTGATTGTGCATGATAGGGTGGAGGCCTTTCGAGTCTTATGTGTGCATTCATTGAGTTTTACGCAAGCTTGATCCTTTAGCCACCATGCATTGAAAATGCTTGGTTGTTGGCTGGAGAGTCAAGGGTCATATTCCTTTGAGCTTGAGATATGATAAGGAATGTGGAAGTGCATACATTTCCTTGCAAATACACTTGCTTGCCTCTGTCTGTGCTCTATTGCAGCGACAGGAGGAATTTCAGCCCTCAAGGTGCTCTTGAGATAAAAAAGAAGCAATATGGAAATCGGTGTAATTTTCAAAGATTCAAAAGAGTACAAACAGAGGCTTCTTGAGGCAAGGCGGTGGATTTCCAGGAGGACGTAACCAAGCATGCATATCTCCCTTGCCCGCGAGGCCATTTATCGCTTTTGTTAGTTAGTTGTACTGAATTACCTATGCTGTAATTAATTTAGCTTAGTGCTTTGTAATATTCTAATTAGCTTAGATTAGCTACTTATTCAATTTGGTTTGTAATAATTAATTAGCTAGAATAGTTAGTTAATTAGTTGGTTTGTAATAGTTAGCTTAATTAGCGTAGCTAGTTAGCTTTCATTTTACTCGGACCCTCCGTCGAGTGGGAAAATGTTGTAATAAGCGTGCGTGTGTGCGTGCATGTCTTCCAACCCCATGTCTTTCTCCCTTTTATTTACCATCTTTTGATGGTTAGTTTTAGGGCATATTTCAGTTAGCATACTTATGCTTTGCATGCGTCCATCATTCATTCGTATTGCATGAGTCGAGCTCGGCGCATCATTCAAACTGCATTGTATTCCAATACACTTACTTGAATACATGTTTCAAAGCATGTTATCAAGTGTTACATTCATATGCCATCTTAGCTAGCCGAGCCTATTTTAGTTGCATTTTGCATGTGTTACATTAGGCATCTTGTATAATTAGGATCATGCATTGATTTCTAATTGGTTTCTGTTTTGGCTCGGAGTACACTGTAAGTGTTTATGCTTTAGCATGCTTGCATGTGTGTAAGTGATTGCCATGATAGTGTGATTGCCATGATAGCATGCTTGCCATGAGGCTATGGGCTTAAGTGATTAATTGCATGAATGCTTGTAGATGAAGGCTTCATTGCTTGAATTAGAACAATTCATCAAAATATGCGTTTTAAGCCCACTTGTTTGTGGAAAATCATGTTTTAAGCCCACTTGAGGGTGGCAAATCCACATTTTAGCCTACTTGAGAGTAGCAACTTCAAACCATTTTCGAAAAAAACAAACATGAGATGTTTTGTTCCAAATTGAGTGATTTAGTCTATACTTGTATGCTGTGCGCATCACATAGTAATTTTAGATTAATAACTGGAATAAGAACACATGTGTTTATAAAAACAACATATCATGTTACTAAAGGCCGATCTTTGATCAGGCGAGCGGGGGTGCTCATTTAGGACCTTCCCCTCTCGTACCCAAGTTCTTGAGTCGAGGCAACTTTGGTGATGACAGACACGTGGCCTTAGGCACGAGTCAGGGTTTCCTAAATTTCCTAGAATAAAATATTTAGGTGTCGACTCTGAAATCTGGCAAAGTAGTCCATGTTTGGCGCTTTTTGATTAAAATCGATTTTCCAAAACAATTTGCCGGATTTAGACTCTTTGGTGATTTATCAGTCTTACATTGCACTTTGTGAGATTAGATTCAGAACCGTAATAGAAGTCCGAACTGTAGTTGCTATGAACCCAAATCTGTGCCCTCTACGAAAGGGGGACGCGCGGAGCGAGTTCGGGCAGTCTACAGGCAAGCATCCAATAGTGTTAACAGAACCAAACTATGCTGATAACAAAAACAATTAATCTGAACACAATATTTTAGTTTCTCAGATATACAAATAGGATAGTTCGGAAAGCTCTTACACTGTCTGCAGATTTCGTAGAGCAGCAAACGTTGAAGGCATAGCACCACTAACTCCAGAGCTAACAAAGTAACTGTCAAGGTGGATAATGTTCAAGAAACAAATGCGACACTTTTTTGTCCTCAACACCAGATTTAAATTTAAATTTAAATTTTGTTCATTGATAGTAAATCACGAGGTGACAACTCATGAGATGGGTTGCAAGCAATCAACTAATCAGTATAAAGGTACATGATATATATAACAGATCTGTACATCTAGTGACTATGACATTTCTTATAAAAAAAGATCATGCTTACTACTTAGTATGCCCAGAAATCTAGGCTCTCCAATATGTGTTTTAGAATTTTTATGTGATGTGGACTAGCATAGCTCATTAAATAGCCGAATGGATGAAATGTTTATTTCAGACTAGACTGGATGACACTGGTTTATAGATCTTGATAATTAAGGTTTATAGAACCTGATAATAAGAGAAGCAACATTTTTCTGGATAACAAAATGAAAAAGTGAGCAAATGTCTCAGCACTTACAGTTGCTCTAATTTTTTTTAAATTCCCAAGCTCTAACGGTAGAGTGCCAGAGAAGTTATTTGTACCAAAGGCCCTGGAAAAGTAGCAAGTCAACAACATCAAAATAATTCAAATAAGGTGACATTTGAATGGTATGCACAAAAGAGGTATGTCTTTCAGTGATTTGTGAATGTTTCCAATATTCAATTGAATGAGGTCCAGAGTACCCACTATAGCCAAAGACAGATTACAAAGAATAAAAAATATATATTATTAAGAGAATATTTGTTGGCACGAACATACATGTATATATTTGGATATATGCCTATGCATTGACATCAAGTTGCCTCTTAAAAAAGTACAAAAATTAAGTTACATACAGTGATCTCAAATCAGTAAGTTTTCCCAGTTCCTTTGGAAGCTCCCCCGATAATGCATTAATACCCACGGTCCTAACAACATTTAAATGAGGTGCCAAAACATTAAACAAGTGTATCTACACATGGATAAAATATTAACAACCAACAAAGTTTTAATAAAAATAAGGTGGCTTACAGGTATTGCATGCGAGATAGGTTGCCAATGGATGCAGACAAGCTACCTGTCAGGTAATTTTGGCGCAAGTCCCTGCAATTTATGGAAGGAATCATTACAATTAATCTCACCACTTCGAAGGAACATTGCCACTGACGAATCCTGAGGAAGAATCTCAGGAAAATCAACTCCACAATAACAACCATTAGCACAATATCACCACTTCGAAGGAACATTGCCACTGACGGATCCTGCCTAGACTTCCCTCCAAGAAGGAAAACAACTTTACAGCCCAAACTGAAAGAAAATAGAAATTCCAGGGCCCAATATAATGTCTTTAGCTCCTTCTATTGGAAGTGTGTGCATGTGTGTGAATGTGAGCATATAATGAATAGCATGATACCTGATGCTAACAATAGGTTTAGTCCAATCCGCTTCCATGTCATCAAGGTGGCCCCCAAGTGTATCACCTGGCATGAGCAGTGCACAAACATTTTTTACTAAATAATTAGGCTTGTTGAGTTTATGAGCTCTTTCCTTCTAACATCTCAATAACTAAATTGTCAGGAAAAAAAATTAACTACACAAATACACAAATTCTCATAATCTACTTTAAAACCAAACTCAACATTCAAAAGATAGCTATGACTGAAGAGTACCTAACCCAAAGTAATTCACTATTGCAGCTTCTAGGCAAAATTCTTCCCCACCTGGCATTGCAGGTGTTGCCATCTCTTTAGCCAATTGGCAAAGAGCATCGAGGATGTCACGACCCCAACCCGCCCCTAATAGTTTGGTGACGTGATGGCCAGTAATCCGAGATTACCGGAGGCCAACTTTCAAAATTCACACACAAACAGAGTATAAATATATATATATATATGGGGCTCACAAACACGGAAGCAATAATTAAAAATACAAGTGGTCCATAAGAGCAGTGCGTAAGTTACATGGGAGGGCATACAACTTTACATAATATTACAACTCGGATACCAATACAATAAAGTACAAAATACATATTACATCTTGATCAAAAGGCTTCTCCAGCCGACATGTGTAAATTACAAGCATTATGAGCTGAGAAGCATGATTTTCAAGACTGCCGACATGAATACAAGTTAGGCCGACAATAACAAAAACACAAAACAAGCTTGCGAGTCACACCTAGGCGTCACCGCCTTCCTGCTCATCACCTACATATATATATAGAGGGTGAGCTTGGATACTCAGTGAATGGTATAAGAAATAAAGGGGTTTGGATGACTGGTATTCAAGATCTTTATCAAACAATACATAACATAATTAGTGCAAGTCAAGGGATGAACCAAGCCCATCTTCCAAATCTGTCAAGTTTCACAGGATGCTTACTAACATCATTATAATACAAGTGATGACATCTCGGCAAACAACCCACGTGGTAAACCGTTCGTGGCAAACAAGACAAGACAAGGCAAGACAAGGGAGATATCTCAATTCAATGGTGCCGTTCATTATAGTCCCCTGACACTAAGGACTTGTGCTTATAGTCCCCTAGCACGTACGGACTTTCAAAGATTGTGCTACAAATGCTTATAGTCCCCTAGCACGTACGGACTTTCAAAGATTGTGCTACAAATGCTTATAGTCCCCTAGCACGTACGGACTTTCAAAGATTGTGCTACAAATGCTTATAGTCCCCTAGCACGTACGGACTTTCAAAGATTGTGCTACAAATGCTTATAGTCCCCTAGCACGTACGGACTTGTCAAGATTGTCATTCAAAACAAGGCTAGTACTTGGTATACAAAATAGGGATCATCATTCATGCTTCACAAAATACTTTCCAAAACAAGCAAGGCAAAACTTTATCAAAACTTAATAACATAACTTTATTAAAAATACCACTCACATGGCCCTTCAGACGTCAGGGTCAAGGCAAGTCCAAGTCCTACAAACACATGGCAAAGTCTGTTGGATGCACTTTCAAACAAATTCACATGCATACAGATGATCTCGGCATCTTTCAAAACTAAGCTAAATCAAAACAAGACACTGTTTCTCATCTCGGGAAGACATGCTGGGCGACTACCAGGTCTAGGGCGAGGTCCCACACCTCCTTGCTGAGGTGTTGCCTCGATGGCCATATTCAAGGAAATGAGGTCGGGAAAATCTGGGTTTCCCTCTCTAGAAGAACATGAGCATGAAGAATCATGAACGTGAGGAAGATGAATGCAAGACCATCATTTGCTGTTACAAAATCTGAGATTTTATGCTATGAATTCAAATACATGAACCTGGGTACCCATGTTCAAGGATCTTGCGAAAACAGACACAAAAACATGAATTTTTAAGGCAAACTTTCAGATCAAACAAGACTTTTCCTTCAAAAACACATGAACACTATTTTCTCTTTCTAAAACCAATTTTAAATCGATGCATGACATGCAGAATAGGTTTGATCGTGCAATGCAGCTAGATGATCAATAAGAATGTCAAGAGTAAATCAAGAATCTAACCTCAATACGTGAATCTAATGGTTTGATCTCTAGGAATCAAGCTCGAAGCCCACTCTCTCACTCTAAACTTTTTCTTCTTCTAGAGCTTCTCTCTCCTCACAAACAAAGACATATAGCAAAATGATACATTTCTAGGTCTACTGGCTGACTTAACCCTCTACAGGGGCACGTGGCAGCGGTTGGTTGGTGCTACACAAAAAGGTGGCTGAGTGACAAGATAAAACTATGACAAAGTGTGTTCAACAAGCAAGATGGCATGGGCACTTCGGTAGGCAATGATCTCGGCTAAAAGCAAGGCATCGGCAAGTAAGGGAATAATGACCTCGGCTAGGAAGGACAACACTTGACTAAGCTGTGCCACACCTTGGCCTAGATGTGCCACACCTCGGTCTATGTCATACCACTCCAGGACAAGATCACTTAGGTGCAAAGGTAACATCTCGGCCTAGATGATTCACACCTCGGCCTTGGTGATAAACACCTCGGCCTAGATAGTGACATCTCGGACAACATGTTAGGGCGAAGGTGGAGGTCAAACAAAGGGGTTCCAAGATAATTCTAGACTGAAGACGACCTCGGCTAAACTCACACTAAGCAAGACACTAAACATGCTGTAACACTTTAAACGAACAAGGACAAGACTTGAAATGCAAGCCTTACAAGACAGAATCACATGAATGCATATGAGTATGGTTAGGATAGCGTGAGGGTTATTACAGTGGATCTTGTTGTGTAGAAGAGATACATTGTAATTCCGTTGTACAAATATGTAAGAAAGTTACTTAAGATATTACTGACGAGTGTATCTCACAGAACTACAATGAAACAATGTTCAAAATAAATGGATGACCGGTGTTCATGCTAATTAAACAAAGATGTCCAATATGACATATGTACTAGAATTGTAATTCAAGCCAATTGATGAAAAAACTTACATGGGACACAGGTCAAAACAGATAGTTGGTGCAAATATCTTATGAAAGTTCAATAGACATCAAACAATATAGAAATTCACAGTAGTGACCTCATAGCTTGAAGCAATACCAATCATGGTCCAAATGGGTTGCTAGTATTGAAAGAAATAAAGGCCATAGCACTCAATTTGAGATAAAAACTGAAAAAGAACAATATGAAATTAGCAATCACCTTGGACCAGTCAAATTGCAGTCCAAGAGTACTCCACCGTAACTTCCACAGTAAACTAGATGCTGGTATTGATTTCAACATATTTCCTCTTGATGATACACCGGGTTCCTCACAAAATTTCCATCTAGGACCATCAACATGACAAAAGAATTAAACTCAAAACTCTCATCTGTGTAGGAACTATCCTCCTCAACTAAATTTTTTCTTTGTTTAGCTGTAATAAATAAGTCACTTATAGGCCCGTAAATTACATTATAATAGCCATAACTTTTCTTTCAGTCACTCTTCAATTACAAATATTCTTCCCCATCCTAAGCTCCTTACAAATCCATCGACATTCACATTCTTCACCACTATGCACAACTGTCAAGCCCCAAAAATACCCTCATCTCTAGCACTAGCACTGACCGCGGTCCCTACTTAGTCAATCACTGGCTCAGGACCCACCACTAGAGACTTCAGATGTTTTTTTTTTTATTTTATGTTATTCGCATTGGAATTTATAAGGCATGGAGTTTGATTTGAACCCTCTTTTTATGGATCCAACTATGAATCAACAAATAATTGATAGATTGAAGAGGGATTTTGCGTAAAGTATTGATTTCGAACAAGAAATTAATATTTTAATTATATATATTGAATTGACTAACCAAAGCCACGCACTATGATTTGAGGCCATCCCTTCAAACATTCACTCATTAGGGTTTTGAAAATTAGGGAAAACAAAAAAATTGGTTTTGAAAATTAGGGAAAACAAAGGAAAATAGAGAAATTGGGCGACAGAGAAAGAGAGGACCAATACTTGATCTCGGGGTTGTTTGAAGATAGGCGAATTGGTAGTAGCAGAAAAATGGTGATAGTGGTGCTACTAGGTGCGAAAATAGAGAGCAACCATGTGAGTAATACAAAGATTGAGAGAGAGAGAGAGAGAGAGAGAGAGAGAGAGATACCTAACAATGGAGGCCCAAGTATTTCTCGAAGCGCCACTAATGCTTGGTTGAAGAAGCTATACACGCGAATGCGATGATGGAGGAGGAGCGACTTTGGTGACTACAATGGAGCAGGAGAATCGACGATGAGGTGCGTGTGAGGAGTGGTTCACGGGAGTGGTTCGTGGTATATATTGTATAAAAGAGTTTGAAAATATCACTCCGCTATTATTGGGCTTTTTTTTCCTACCAAACTGTTTGATCGGCACTGTGCTTCACTTAATTTAAATTACATTCAAAACAGTATCGTTTTGTTATGTGCGACCAAATTACTTTGGTCGGTAATTTTTTTATTATAATTTTCCTGCTTTTTTTTGCTCTTCCATATTCAAACTTTGTTGAGCAAATTTCAATTTTGGTCTCAGGAAATTTTATTTTTGCAACGTTATATAGTACTCTAATAGATTTTATAATAATTTGTGCTATAAATGATTTGTTTTTATTTTCTAAAATTAGGAATCAACT